TTTGATTTACATAGTATTATGATCAATCTTGAGATATTAAATATTGACGGAACTTCTTTTTTGAAATTAATTATGATTATTACTTGAATATTTTTGATAGATGTTGATTTAAAAGAATGAGATATTCAAGTGTTCTTTTATCCTACTTGAAAAGACATATTGAAGTATCAATCTATTTTTTTTTGTTGAGATAAATGTAAAAAATTAATAAACCTTCATATTTCAGATTTATTTTTAGTTAATATAATGAAATCATTTTTTATATTGTATATCTATATTCAGCTATTTAGTTTTGATAATAGGAGATTAAGGATATTGAAGTAATGGAATTAATCTTCATAGAATTGCATGCTGAAAAATCATAACAGATTGGCTTAGTATGAATCAATTAAAGTAATTAGCTTTGAGAATCACCAAGGTTATCTGTTTTTTTGCGAAAATGAATATAGGATGCAGCATAGTTTAAAATTTTGAAGAAATAGAATTCGAATTTATTTTATTTTTTTGTTTTAGAATTGAATTAATTGTTGATAATCGTGTCAATCGATCTACTCTATCAGGAAATGGTATTCGAAATGCTGTTTCACTTCAACCAGTTCTTTATGTAGGTGGAATACCAAATAATAATCATATAAATTTAACAGGATCAGGTCTGAATGCATATGGATTTCAAGGATGTCTATCAAGTTTTATTGTTGATGGTCGTTTACTTGATTATCAACGAGCATTAGTACTCAATGGACAAGTGAAAATGAATATTTGTTCAGGTAAATATGATTTTTTTCTCGTATAGTCAGCGTTAAAAAATAAATTATTTGAGAGAAAAGAATTAATCATCTATTCTAACAGATTCTTCAAAAGTATCATCACCTGAAAATAATGGTAAGTGATTGTGTGCTTCTTTTAGATCCTATATATCCATTTCCCTATATACTGTTTGTATTATATCGTGTAATATCCTTCTTCTCCTATCATATTTACGTACACTTATTGAATTTGCACGTCGATTTCTTTGAACTCAGATAAATAAAACAAAATTTCGTTTTTTATATAGATTTAAATAAACTTTGCTATGATTTTACATGTGTTCATTCGGGTATATGTTCAACAAATGAAAATGATGGACCTCGATGTGATTGTATTGAAACAAGTTACATAGGTGAACGATGTGATAAATGTAAGTTAATAGTTTCTGATTTGATCTAATTATATATGTAATTTCAATAGTACCAAATGGATTTTATTTTGGTAAACATGAATCCATTGGTTCAATTGAATATGTAATGCCACAAACACGTCAAACAGAATATGATACAATATCATTTGGTTTACAAACAGTATCAAAGTCAGCACAAATATTTCGTCTTGAATCCGATTTAAATTCATATAGTTTAGAATATGAAATTGTAAATTTTGAATCTTATTCTTACTTTCTAAATTTTTATAATATATTATTTGATTTTGTATAGCTACGAGAACGATCATATATCAAATTAAATATGGGTGAAAAACAACCTGATGTTTATTCATGTGTTATGCATATAACGGATGGAATGTATCATGCTATTAAAATAATTCGACGACTTTCCATGGTTGAATTATATGTTGATGGAGTTCGAATGAAATTAGAAGGCGGAAATAGTATGTTTATAATAAATCTAAATCCTATAGAAAAATCAGAGAATTACGTTTATTTAGAATATTCACGTCATACAGAACAACAACGATCGTTTCTTGCACAAAGACGTTTACGTATTGGAAGCTTTAAAAATGTTTCACAATGGAATGGAGTTCTTGCAGGTATATTTATATAGTTTTATGAACAAAAATTGAGCTGTAGAACTTAGATAGTTTCCATGAGTAATCCTGACTTTTTACTATGTATAAACGAACTCTATCGAACAATTCTCATAGATAAACATGACTGCTCATTGCAATTATTTACACAAGTATTAACTATTATGAATATTTTTTGTACCCTGATTTGATATATTGATCATCAAATAAGAATCAGTTAAAACAGAATTGACGATGCAGAAAAATGATTAGTAAGAAAGATAGAAATATATGAATATGATACTCTTTCATATTGCATATGTCGCATTTTTATTTAAATAATCATTATGTAGAAAAATTAATTACTGTCTATATCATAAAATCTGAATAATTCGGTTCCTTTGCTTTTGTTTACGACTTAAATGAGTAGGAATATTCATCAAAATGACTTGGGTACAGATTGCTAATGAATTCTATTTTTATAAATATACTCAGATATGTTATTTTATCATATCCGATCCATTTTTGTATACTTGACCAAACACGTCATCATAATGATATGCCAACGCTTTTACACATGACATTTCCGTGTGGGATACTTCCGCATGAAAGTGTAGGTTGATAACAGCTTGAATGTGTGTTTCCGGAAGCTTTTAGATGTGGATAAGAAAGGGAGAGGAAATATGGATCTTTCTATCCTATGCGTCTTTCACCAATATACAGATAAACATCTATCAATTACTTAAACACCCACTATCGTATACTTGTATATTGAAGTCAACATATCATACTATGGTTCTCGCCCATCCTATAAACTTCTTATATATCAAAGTTTATCTACACTCAAACAGAAGTTTTACTTTCTCAGTATTTTGCGCGAAAATGATGTGTCATAAAATTGCATAGTTCACTCGTTGTTAAGATGAGATAATCAAAATATCATGAAATCTTCTTATAAAAATACTTGGAATTATTTTAGGTTTATCATTCAATCGTCAATCCATATTTGATAGTCTTTTCAATACTCTAATTCGTTCCGGTGATGTCGAAGAAGTTCAACCCGACATAAATACTGGTCAATTCATTTTAATTGATCCAACAGCCATTGCAATTCCTATCCTATCTTCAACAATTACATCTATTATTCCAATAAATAATAATAACTATACATT